ATCTGTTGTGCATATTTGTTTGTAAGAGCATTAATTTTGTTAAGAAAGGTGAAATAGGGAAAAGCCTGGGCGTAAATTAATATTTGGATAATTTTCTATGGCGGCACTCTCCAGAATTTTTCCTTCTGAGTGAGTTATTTTCTTATTGTCTTCTCTACCGATTAAATCGGAGAATTTTTTATATATATATATATATATATATATATATATATATATATATATATATATATATATAACTGCAAAAAGAACAAAAGAGTAAGATTTCAGCGTTCAAAACTAATTTAAAACAAAGCTGAATACAAAAGTAGAGACGTCTCTCTCTCTCTCTCTCTCTCTCTCTCTCTCTCTCTATATATATATATATATATATATATATATATATTGAAAAATAAGAAAATAAAAAATTAAAATCATTAGACACACTGGGTTGTAGATTAATATTCTTTCGTTTTTTTATTAGTGTTACATATATGTAGTGTTACATTAGAACATGCACATACACACTACGAAACTGTACATTTTGTTTCAACGTTAAAAAAGTTTTTTTAATGTTTGAACTTTCAGGTTTAGAACAATCAGTTTATCATTACATAAAGAACTCAAGCAGCCTAGTTGAAAAACTAAGTGAAATGAACATGACCGACAAATGAATGGCCAGCCTAGATATAAAATCCCTGAGCACCAATGTCCCCGTTGAAAAATTCTTAAATCTCCCCCCAAAAGCTTCTAACTCAATCAAAAGTAAACCACTCTCTACCAACAGCTAAAATAATAAAAATCTGTGATTTCATCACCAATTAACGCTACTTTACATTGAATAATGATTGTTACAAACAAAAATTTATCCTACCAATGCGATCGCTTCTCAGTGGATGTATCTTTCACAATTGCTTCCTCTTCCGAGATATTAATATTTACCGAGTTAACAACGGTTTAAAATTCGGTGTCCACCGGAAATCAACCAACAAAAACTACCCAATAACTTTCTATTTTCATCATAACAACAAAATAAAATCCAGCATAATCATCAGATTCTACTTAAGAGCACTCAGAATATGCATCCCGGATTATTTACACGAAGAGGAGAAATGCATTGAAAACACTTTCTTCAAACGTCCCCAGTACCCTAATTATTTTACACTCAATGCGAAGCGAAAGCCCATAAAATAGACCAAAACGAAAAAGGCCCCTCCTGAAAAATCTAAATGGCCTATAAAATAGACCAAAACGAAAAAGGCCCCTCCT